AATATGGGGTCTACTGTAAAACCATTGGCTGGCGCAGTGTAGGTCGGACTCATCTACAGCTCTGCCAAATTTCATGTTGATTGGTGCAACCGTTTCCAGGCTACAGTTGACCAAAAATCTCCAGAGAAATTTTTTTTTAAATAAACAGTACGAAAACAATATGACTCCCGCTTACGCTTCGGGTGCGGGGTCATAATAAACTAAGTGATTTTTTAAAGGTAGGGATGGAGGTGAAAGGATGAGGAAGGGATGAATGATGGGGAAGTGTGAGGGGGAAGTGCGATGAGAGCGAGAGCATACGAAGGGACCTAGGTAGGGCGAAAGGGGAGGGTGGGTGTCGAAATTGTGACGAAGTCGAAACGCAGGTGAGATGAGTTTGTAGGCGCTGAGTGATTGCACTGGTGGGAGAGGCGTGGTCCTCCTCTCAAACCTATTAACTTCATTCTTCCACAACCAAATTCAAGATAGGGATTAACATCTATTCATCTTTGATCAAACTTATTGGTCCACATCCTTTATGGTGTACAACAGTTTTATTAATCAATGATCAACTCAAGCTTAAATGATTACAAGTGTACAAGAAATGACTGAAACTGACAGTGAAGACAGTTTGTCTCCTTCCTCGTGTTTCTTGTTCCTCTGTCATCTTTACCAAAGCTGAAAAGATCTGAGCTGAAATAAAAGCACCTGTTAAAAGCTAATTTACCCAGAGATTTGTAGTTGAATAAACATGATCTCAAACTATCCTCTAAGGCTTATTTAGCTGTTTGTTTTCTACCAAACGCYAGTCAAAGCTGTTTTAACTTTGATGGTTTTGTCTTTCAATTTTCCTCCGGAGTGTGTCTGGTTAGTGATCCACAATGGACCACTTTGTGTTTACCTGCAGCTCTGCTTGCTGATTGGACAGGAAGGAGAGAGACAAGAAATAAAAAAAGACATTAAAATCTATTCTTGCTTTTCTTCAAATATATGGCACTCACTGAAACACAATCTTTGCACTTCAACAGGCTTGTGCATGCACGCAGACCAGCTTCCTCCTGTCGTCCAGCTGGTCGCGGAGTTATTTTGTGGGCACATTTTATTTTACACATCTGTACAGCCAATGAATACAGTCCCATCATGGCACTAATATAAAAATGTTTTATCTATAGATCTTAAAGGCTTCGCTTATTAAACTGCATTTTATAAAGGCCGCTTTTTACAAAACCGACCTAAACMTATCCGGACAAAGTGGAATTTCAAAGGAGTCCGAGTTCTTGTCCTTGGTGCACGCCAGACTTCAGCTGGGGGTTTARAAAGAGCTGGGATTTGTCTGAAGCTGAAGTTCTCCTGGAGTTTGACATCACTTTATGTCTTCAGTGAGTCCAGCCTAAAGTTTACAGTAAAATCACAATAAGGAGCTCCTAAAAAGATACACAAAACATCTCAAATATGTGGAGTGAGAGCGGAGTGAAACCAGTTGGTCGAACGTGAGCGTTATGCTTCAGGCATCATTAGTGGAGTTGTTTAACAGCAGAGTCTCTGTAAGAGGCAGGCAGGTGTCCGGTTAGATAAAACTGTAAGGCAGCTTGTCCTGGAGTGTCTGAGGGGTTTGGGGTTTTCTTTAAAACKGTGACTGGACCTCTCCTGCTTTTTGAAGATTCTTTAAAGTTTTCGAAACTATAACAAAACTGTGCAGAGTTCCAAGCTTTTATACTGTAGTAGGTTGTTCCATTCGTATGACCTACAACCCACTCTCCCTTGTTGTTAAGGCATTTGTTTYCTTGAGCCATGAGGCGTCTTGTTCAGATGCACACAGGTGCATATCAGGGATGGGCATTTCAAGCACAAAACTCTGAATTAGTTGTTGCTTTGGCTGCTTCCATCTGCAGGGAACAACACAGCGAGTGAACTCGCATCAAACATTTGTCAATTAGTTTATGACGGATGCCCATTCTGACCCAACCTGAACTCAGGATAATTGCCATCGTTTACAGCAGACTGTGCTCCTTCCACATGTTCTTTTACTTGATCTTTAAAAGCTTTATTTGACTTTATTCACCATGTTTATTGGAACAGTTGTCGTTGGCTGTATTTCCTCACAGTCTCAGCCAGCTGCAGCAGATCAGCTAATTGCAGCCACTTTCATAAACAAAGGCTAGACAGTGGAAGAGCAGCGTAGAGCGGAGTGCTACACTAGGCTCCCTTGCGAAAGAGATCTGTGATCTCAATGGGATTTGCCACTAATGTCAGTAGTTGTCAACAGTGGAGTGGGTAGTTGCAGCAGAGCACTACACTGATCCTGTTGGTCAAAGCCACTTATCCTGTTGCTACAATCTCCTCTCTCTGACTGGAAGTAGCTGAACTTTTGTCAGCCAAAGGAGGGATTTGACAAGCAAGGTGGGCAGTTCTGTTTGGATAATGGTAGGGGAATCACTGATCTGTGTTCTATGTTTTCACTTTATGGAAGTTGGAAATGATCCTTGCATGTACACCATAGTGACAGTGTTCATTTTTAATGCATGATTAAGTTTTAGAAATGTAGATTTTTAGTTTTTAGAGAGTAAAAGATGTAATGGCGTGTGGAAACGTGTCTTCAGTCGGAGGCTTCTTCAACTTCACTGTAATACAGACCGCTACAGAAGATCTTTCCTGCCCACAGCCATCAGCATCTACAATAAGTTTTTAGTTAAATGAGTTACAACAACACCTAATTTCCCTCTGGGATCAATAAAGTATTTTTGAATTGAATTGAATTGAAACAGGTTTTTCCAATACTTATTCAGATCTACTACTACAACTCTGAATACCTGAAGTGTTGCCTATTCCTGGTGCGAAAGAGACAACACAGTTTTAAATCTGATCCCCATTGAGGAAGGGTTCAGCTTGTATTAATGGTGCAACGCACTGCAGTTTTAAAGCTCAGAACTCCACGTTTCAGTTTGAAATGAGAAAACTTCTCAGACGAGAAGACGAACAAGGAAAGAACTTCAGTCGCCTTTGTTTTAAAGAAAAATAACTTTTCGTATTAYCTCGACCCAGGTGACTGAGTCTAGACCAGGGTCCTGAAATGCACTGGTGATGAGGCCACCGGGAGGTGAGCGAGACACAATCCAAGAAACAGGAGTGGAGACAGAAAGTCACTGAGGCGTGACGCAGCATCAAACCTTTGTTTAGCACGTCCACACCTGAAAGAGACAGAAAAACACAGCTCAGACTTTTCACTGAGCTCTCATGTGGTGCAGAGACACAGCCCACTTATTTTTACCTTGACGGTGCTGTCCACAGCTCCAGAGAACAGGCGCCCCCTGGAGACGGCCAGGGCCGTTACACTGCCCTGATGTCTCAGCAGCGTCTGGGTGCAGATCATGTTGTCCATACTCCAAACCTGCAACACAAGGTAGTTWTTCCAAAAGTCTTCACACTGTTTTGTTGTTTAGCGTCACATTGTGCCTGCAGGGTGCTCTCACCCGGAGGGAGCGGTCATACGAGGCGCTGAACACTTTGGTCTGGTCCGGGGTTGAGATGACAGCCAGAGCATAGACCGTTCCCACATGACCCGTCAAGGTTCGCACCTGTTCTTTGGACTCGATATCCCAGACCTGAGGAGAACACACACACACACACACACACACACACACACACACA